AGGTGCTGCCCTGACAGCAGCCTGCGGGCCAGGGGTCTGCCCCAGGAGCCGGGGAATTCTCTACGACACACTGCCACCAGGAGCAACTCGGGTGGGGACCAGGCTGACAAAGTGTCTTCGCCGTGTACCATCTGACTTCCAGCAGATACCGGCTTGCTCGTGGGAATGGGGGTGCGGTTGGGGGAGGGCTGGGAGCAGGGCTGCCCTGAGGAACCCAGTGTCCCGATGTCTGCATGCTGCTCTCAGCCTTACTTGGAAGCCCCACAAAAATGTCTGCCTCCCTGCTCTGGTTTTTAGCTTTGATCTCTGTAGTTGTATTATTTTAAACACAATTCACTATCTTTTCTTAAAGTTCCAAATTCTCTTTGGGTGTCCAGAAATGAAAGACACCAGGGCCTCAGGGGTGCCAGACCAGTGATCCCAGAGGGGTGGAAGGTGGGCCGGTGTTGGGGGCTTGCAGTGAGGGAGGGGCTGGGCTTTGCCCTCCTGAGAGAGGGGTCCAAGTCCTCCACCAGCTGGGCCATGAAGCAAGGAAGAGTCCCAGGCTAGACCAGAGCCCCCAGGCCACACCACGCTGCCCTCCATCACTCTCACCCTAGCTGTTTTTCCTCCAGGGCACCAGGAAGACCATTGGTCCACTGGCAACTGTCGCCTCCTGGTGGTCCCACCAGGGAGAGCAAGCTACGACAGGGGCAGCGGGGAGGGAGGGCTCTCAGGGGCCAGTGGCTCTCACAGACACGGTCCTGCGGCCCCTGGAATCCTATGGGAGCCCCAGCCAGGATGGAGGGGCTGGAGAGGATGGGGAGGAGGAATGAGAGAAGGTGAAGGAAAAGAGAAGGAGAAGAAAGAGAGGAGAGGAGGGTGACCCTAAACCCTCTGGAGAGGCCCTGGTCGCATCTGGAGACCAGCCAAGAACTCATGGCCTGGAGGCTGCTGGTGTGCCCTAGGGAAGTGGGGTCCATTCCCATCTCGTGCACCTGGGAGTCACAGCGAGGTCTGTGAGGGTCTGCCCCGCACTCCAAGCAGCTCTCTACCCTCAGCATCCTGGCCCCAGATTTGGGGGTTCCCTTCCCTTGAGGCAGTGAAGCCCCCTGACTTGACCCCCCAAGTCAGTCGTAGGCATTTCGCGTGGCTACTCACCTGCCTGCAGCCCAGCCTGCGCTCCGTCGAGCGGGTTCTGGCCCCCAGAGGCGGAGGCTGGCGGGCAGTGCCCTCCTGCACCTGTCCCCCAGCTGCGAGCTGCAGGATGCGGTCAGGAGAGGAAGCAGGGCCTCGGCTCCGAGTCATTCTGGGGTTTCCAAAGAGCTCCTCGCCGAGGGCATCGGCAGGGCACTGTCTGGGCTGCTGAGAAGCGCTGGCTCCTCATCAGCCCACGGAGCGAGGGGGAGGGGAAGGTGAGCAAGGCGCGCCCCATCTTCTGGGGCCCCAGGGCCTGAGGATGCGAGTCAGCAGGACCAGGTGGCTCCTGCGGGGCAAGGAGAGGTCTGGGGCGAGTGCCCCTCACTGTGCATGGGGCAGTCAGGGTGCTGCGGGCGGCTGCGCTGCCACCGCCGCTGTCAGCAGCTCAGCTATGGGGACCCTATCTGGTTCCCCTTCCTCCTTGCCAGCGAGAACTCAGGACGTTTTCCACAAGACCCCTCCACCACGTCCCAGGAAGACCCATCTGATGGAGGACAACCCTTGCCCCCTTCCGCCAAAGTGAGAGGGAGAGAAAACCGGTGGGGGCCCCAGTGGTCTCTCCTAACTGCACCTCTCCCCTCTCTCCATAGTCTGAGCCAGTCCCTTCCCAGCGAAGGCTCTGGTTTCTGCTTCCAGGACACCTGCTTCCCAAGCCCCCCGGCTTCTTCAGATGCTCAGGCCCTGCTCAAACCAGTGCCAGAGACACGGAGCAGCAACTCAAACTACAGCCTAAGGCGCGTAGATGCACTTGGTTTGACTCCTTTCAATTTGTAATACAATAATCAAACAAAACGAGATTTCACAGGGAATTTTGGATTTCCAGCTTTTATTTTTAAAACAGAAGCTTTTTTCCTGTGACATTTGCAGTGATGGACCCCTTGAGACAGACCTTGAGTTTTCGAATTTGCCATAGTCTCCACCATGCCCTTTCATACTCCCCCTCCCCCACCGCACACACTAAGGCCAGGCAGGAGTCGCAGCGTGTGTCGGAATACCAGGATTCTTACACCTGACCTACTTCATTCCTTCACTTTATCTGTCTGGCCCTTTAGGTATGTGAAGTTTTTCAACCACAGGAGCACGGCTATGGAATCAGAAAGATCTCTCTTCCATCCCACATCAGTCACTTACCCGTTGAGTGGTTCTAATCCAATTATCGAGCTTCTCCAGGCTTCAGTTTCCTTATCTGTAAATGAAGATAACAGTATTGCCACAAATCTCCACCTTCCAACTGAGGTTTGCAAGATACGCGTATCACTTTCTCTGTTTCTTCTAAATCAATTTGATTCTGTCCCAGGCTTGCTGGGATGGCAAAAAATCCCATTTTCTCGTGCAGAATCCTGAAGGCTTAGGGGAGCCCAGAGAGTAGGGTAGACGCTGACAGCCTGGTGGCTGTAGCCCCCAGGCATCTCCCATCGCCTGGGGCTCCTGCTGCTGGACATGTGTGGTGCAAGAATCTGTCCAGGCTAGAAACCTGGGCCCACATCCCAACACCCATCTCTGCTGAGGTCTTGCCACCTACCGGGGCACTGCTGGGGTCCTTGCTGCTCAGGGCACACACTGTTTTCTCTCCTGTTTCCAGTCCATCCCACCTCTTTTTCCTGGTCTTCAAAAGCTTCATCCCTGCCCTTACCCCCCAGGACCCCCAGCACTGTCTCAGTAGACTCAGGGCTGAGGCCTTCAGGAAGCTTCTGCTCCCCACCCAGAGAGAAGGTGAGGGTGAAGGAGAGGGGGGAAAATACGAATCAGTATTTCAACCGAGTATCCCACGGCATGAGTAATATTAATAATGCTTACCTTCAAAGGCCCTTCACCCTCTGCCCACCCCATCGGTACTCCCAGAATTTCCCCTCTTGGTCCTTTTCTCATTTTGCACACCCCTCCGGGGGGTTCTGAGCCAGTCCCAGAGCTGCAGCTCAGGAGGGGCTCCCGAGCCCTCTTCTCCAACCTTCCTTGTGCCGTAGAGCCCCAGCCAGACTGCTCGCCGGACATTACCATCAACGTCCTCAAGGGAACGCATCTGACACTGGACTCTCAAGCCGGAAACCTGGGGACCCCAACTTCCCCCTCTCCCATACTGCACGTCGTCAGTCAGTCCAGAGTCAGGCCAGGCCCACCTCCTGCACAGCTCGTGACACCCCCGCCACTCCCAATGCTGCAACGGGTTCAGGTCCTGCCACTCCTTCCTGGATGAACGTCTGCCAGTGCTTCCCCGGTCTCCACTCTCCCCACTCCAATCGCTCAGACACCAAACTGATCCAGAAGTGAGTCTACTACATTATCCCTTGTATCAATAGTCTTTGATAGTGTGATGGTTAATTTTATGTGTCAACCTGGCTAGGCCCATGGTACCCAGATATTTGGCCAACATTATTCCAGATGTTTCTGTGAAGGTATTTTTTAGATGAGATTAACACTTAAATGAACACTATGAGTAAAGCAGATTTATCTTCCATAATGTGGGTGGGCCTCATCCAATCAGTCGAAGGCTTTAACACAAAAAAGACTGACCTCCACCTATGAAGAGGGAAACGTGCAAGCAGACTACCTTTGGACTTGAACTGCAACTCTTTCCTGGGTCTCCAGCATGCGGCCCACCCTGAAGATTTTGGACTTGTCAGCCTTCCCAATAGCATGAACCAACTCCTTAAAATCAATCTCTCTCTCTCAATAGATATAAATATTATTATTAGATAGATATAGATATTATTCTATCTATCTACCTACCTACCTACCATTAGTTCTGTTTCTCTGGAGAACTCTGACTAACACAAGTAGCTTCTCTTCAATTTCAGGATCAAAACCTTAAATCCTTCGTTAGCCCACTTAGCTCATTTCGTGCCTTTGTACAAATTAGACAAAGCCACGGCCTCCAGGCAGATGCACTCTGGCCAAGGCACAGGGCTCAGGGCGTGGAGCACGGGTGAGCCTTCCCTCTCAGCGCGCTACGCAGCCTGGACAGCCAAACAGAGCGGCCCTGCTTCCAGAGGGGCCCCTGCTTGCCACTTCAGCCTCATGGCTCTTCCTCCTCTCCTCCTCGTCCCGCACCCGAAGTTCCCTGCAGCTCCTTTGCCACTGGGCTTTTGTACAGCCGGTCACTGCTGCCTTACCTTCCTCCTCCTACCTCCCCAGTTCCCGGGCTGGGCTCTGCGGGGCTGGGTCGGCCTCCTCTCTCCCGCCCCGGGTCCTGGCCCTCACTTCACTGACTCTGCTGCTTGATGACTCGTCTGGACTGGGGAGTCCTCCGGGGAAGGCACTGGAACTTCGGTCCACGCGCTGGGCCCCAGGTGCTCAGTACGTGTTTTCCGAGCAGATGAGACAGGGGAGCGTGCGCGAGCGATGGGCGGACGGACGGGCGCACTGGCTCGCAGGAGGCGGCAGGAGGCGCTCACCGCCGGCCGGCTCCTTTCCCTCCCGGCCGAGCTCAGTGGCCGGGCCCAGGAGGGCAGGGGACCGGGGCCGGAGGAGGGCCAGCCGCGCTGCGCAGCGAGAGGGGGCACGGCGAGGCCCCCCTGCGCCTCGGTTCCCGCGTTCGCGCCGGGTCCCCGAGCATGGCGCTGCCCGGGCCAGGCCGGAGCGCGCGGAGGAGAGGCGGCCTGGGGCCGGGAGAGGAGCCTCCTCCCGCCCGGGCTGCGGAACCTGGCGGCGCGGGGGGGCCCGCCGCACGCGCATCCGAAAGCGGGAGAAGGGGGACAGCTTGGGTGCTTGAGCTGGGGTCCCCACGGCACCCCCACTCCCGCCGGCCTCTCGGCACCCCAACCTGCGGCCCCGCCCCGACGCTTGCCCCGGACTCTCCAATCCCCTCCTGCGTGTTTCCCCTCTCTCCTCCGGGCCTTGGTATGCCCCAGGGGACAGATGTCCTGGGATCTTTAACATTTGGGATGCTGCAAATGCCGAAGTTAAATGAAATACCTCCGGGGAGGGAAGGCCGGGGGGTGGCTCGGGGAAAGGGACGAGGGCCTGGACCCCCGGGGCCTGAAGCCGCGAGGCAGGACCGGGGGGCGCGGGGGCAGGCGGGCGGCGCCGGAGCTCCATGGGACAGGTAAGGGAGCCTTGGGGGGCGCAGCGCGCGGGAGCGGGAGGATGGGGCCCCTGACCCCACGGGCCTCGGTCTTAGCGGAGGGAGCCCTAAACGGAATGGGGTAATTTACTAAGGGGTGGGAATTGGTAGTTGCTACCCAAAATGCCCATTTCCGACTCCTCAACCTCTCTCCTTCGACCTTCCCCACGCCTGTGGCTCCCTGGCCAGGTTCCGGGAAGCCAGAAGGCAGCCAAACAAAAGGAGCAAAGTCTCGGGCCGCCGGGATGCGGAGGGCGCGCGGGGGGAGGGGAGCGGGCTGGACCGGACAAAGGCGCTTTTCAGGGAAAGCCTAGAGGTCTGGTTTCAGGGCGCATTCCAGGCGGCGTGGAGTCCCCTGTCCCGGCCCTCTCCACCGTCGCTTGCTGGAGGCGAGCACCTTTCCCGGTGGTAAGGGAGCAGAGTGGAGAAAGGAAACAGCCAAGGAACCATGTCCACTGCCCCTTCGCCTGGAGCGTCCCGGGTAGTTCCCTTCTCTCTTTCCCACTGTTGGCCCCAGCGGCCGACCACTAATTCCTTAATTCATTCAGGGGAATTTAGGGTCTGCACCGGGCGCTGGTGGGGATGTGGAGATGGTAGGACGAGGCCCTTGCCTTAAAGAACTTCCAATCTCGTGTGTCAGGAGAAACTTAGAGAAGGAACTTAAATGATGGGAGAGTGGATAGCCACAGGGGGTGGAAGTTTTCTGATTGGGACTTTTCCTTAGGACATGAAAACCCCAAAGAGAGGCGATTTTTCTCCTCCTTTCAAAGATCGGATTCAAAGCACTCTAATGTTATGCAAGGAAACCCCGCTTCCTCACCAACTGGTGGTCTTGGTGATGATGCTCCGGGGGCTGGGGCTGGGGCCACAGTCCCCTGACCTTCTGGACTGGCTGGGAGAGGGACACTGAGCTGGCCTCTGGAATGCCCACCTCCCCCTTGATATGCTGAGTTGAATGACAGGGCAGACAGTGAGAGCCAGCAGATCTGGGGTTCTTGGGAGACTTGGTTTGCTGGTCCCATTCCAAACCTCAGATTCTGCTGGGCTGGGAAAGGCAGGGTGTGAATGCGAGGGAGCAAGGGGCATCTGAGAATTCCAGAGGGTTGATGAGTGAGTCCCTGAACTCAGGGATGGGCGATTCCCCTAGGGTGTGGATTCTTAGCTGGGTCCATGGGCACCAGAGCATCTGTGGATGGAATCAGAGGGTTTGTGAACTTAGATGGAAAAATCCCACATCTTGACTTTTCCACCAACCTTGAACAGAAATTTAGCATTGTCCTCAGTTATGAAGGCAGGAAATGACTGGCAGTACCTGTGTCTTTGCCATCAACAGAATCCACAGATAGTTACATGTCACACGCAGTTGTTGTGGCTGTCCCGAATACTGCTTACACTCATCACTTCTATGAACCCACAGCCAGATCCTGTTTAATGTCAATAAAGAAGCATCTCTATTACTGTGTTTTTGTTTTTAGAACTGTATTTCAGTATAACTGGTTCTCTTTGTGATTCTCTTAATTTTACTTTATGATTAAAAAATATGCTGTGAGCTGATTCTAGAAACTTCCATCACCCCCCACCTGGAGCTGGGGGATGGGCAAGGTGGAGGGAGGGTGCCAATTATGCGCAGAGTCAACTCCTCTGTTTGACATTGGAAGAATGTGACAAACCTCTGGAGGATGGACAGGGCTGTTCTGTGGAGGACTGGGTGAGGGGTCTGCAGGCTCCTTGGGAGACCTGGGGCCGGCTCCTCACCACGGGAGGGGGCGTCCCCTGTTGAGGCCCCTCAGCCTCAGCCTGGAGAGAGAAGGGGGTGGTCAGCCCGGAGGACTCTGGGCTAGCATTGTTTGGAAAGAGGGTGTGTACAGGAATGTGAAGGTGAGCTGGGAGCACGTGTAGGGGCGGTGGGAAGGGGGGGTGCGTGGGGGAGGGGGCAGACGGGAGCCCTGTTGGTGACACAGCTCTGTTCCACGGGAGATGCTTGGTGGAGCGACTTCCTCCTTCATCCCTGCCCTGGGGGATGGGGGATGGGGATGGGCATGGGATGGTCTTTCTGGTTGGGGGAGGGAGGCAGTCCTGAGATACGCTGAGGGTCTGGGACCCCAGGGAGAGGGGGCGCTGTTCTGTGGGAGGATCAGAGATGGGGGGAAGGGAGGTGGTGGGATGAAGCCTTGAGAGGTTCAGTCCCCCATCTGCAGCATTTCTGTTTTCCAGTCTGCTGGGGACAGCCAACAGGTGGCTTTACCCCTTGCCTTCCCCAGTGAAATAGGCTGAATTCCAGATGGTTTTCAGTTTGCTTGAGGGTCAATGGGGTGGGAGACCTGGAGGCTTATTTTTTGTAGGGAGCAAGTTCCATTTTGGTCTCCGTTCACTTGTGTTTGGTGAGTGAGCTTAGACCTTGGGGTTATAGCGGCCCTCCTGTGGAGTAGGGGACAGGACTGGGGTTCAGGTCAGTACTCCGCGGACCCTGTTGAGTATGGTTGTAAATAATAAACAGGGAAGAGGTGGTCTTGATGTACCTGGGGGAAAATGTCGAGGATAAAAAGAGAACAGCATGGCCTTCTTTGGGGCCCTAGAGCCTCCCCATATGGAGTTCTAGGGTCACTGCCTTTCCTGAGGATTTTTAACCTGATTTGGGAGAGACAAAACTCAGGCCTTGGTCTCCATTTCAGTGTATGGGAAGAGCGATGACCTGTCCCTGTCAGTTGGTGAATTTCTGGCTGGTATTCCCCATGGACGGTGGGCCTTCACCTTGCTTTTGGGGGCCTTGCATGCCTCAGTTTCTGGGAAGGGAAAATGAGGTACAAGAGGGCAGTGACCATCTGAGGCAGGAGAGCCCGGGCCAGGGCAGGAGGCACCAGGGTCCCCCGAGGCCATGAAGACGTGACCCTGTTGCCTTCTGGGGTCCTCCATGGGAAGCCCCCTTCTCCCTGCTCCCCGCTGCCCCGGAAGCTCGGAGGCCCTGGAGCTGCCAGAGGCAACAGCCACAGCAAGAGTAGTTCAGAGAAGGACTAGCTCCACTGCTCCTCCCCTCTGACTCAAGTCACAACAAGTAACCTGCTTCCTTGGGAGGGACTGCGGGCAGGCGGGACCAGAGGGAGGGACCGACAGCCATCAGTGTGCAGAGAGTCGAGCCAGGTCAGAGAGAGAGCACAGGGAGGCCGGCCGGGGCCTGGAGGACCCTGAAGCGACATGCGACGCCGCTCGGCCCCCTGACCTGGGAACAGGGTGCTTCCAGGACTCCTGGACTGAACCCAGAAGCAGGTGAGGGCGGGGCAGGCTGGCCTGGGGGTGCCAGGAGCCCAGGCAGTGGCTGTCATCACCCCCCACTCGTGTCTGCGGCCCAGGGATGATGGGGGGTGCTGGTGGGCCCGATGAGCAGCCTGTCGCTGTAGTTGCTGTTTCCATAGGAGAAAGGGGAAGCGGGGATGAGAGGCCCCAGCCCTGGCCTTGGGGCACATTTGTGCCAGGGACAGGTCCCCAGTGGCCCGGCCTGAGGGAACGTGACTGTGATCCCCCCTCCCTCTGTGCCCCTTCTTTCCTCCTCTGCCTTTTTGTGGGACGTTGTTCAGTCGGCTGGACTGCTTCTCAGGGCCCGGTCCTGGGGCCTGGGGCCGGGGGTCCAGAGGACAGGGAGGGATTCCTGTGTTGGGAGAGGCTGGGGATGTTCCCTGGAATGCCTTTATCTAAAAGCAGCACCTTGAACACCAAGGCCAAGCAAGACCCATGCCTCCGGGTGGAGGTGGGAGCAGAGCCTGTGGGCCCCGGGTCCCTGCAGCGGAGGGCAGCCTCGGCAGGGCAGACCAGGGTCCACTCCATGGCCGCGTGGGTGTCCTGCTCAGCCTGACATGGTCCAAGAGTCCGGAGTCAGACTGGGGAGCTGGACAGGGCCCCGACACTGTCTCATCTTCCTTGTGCCTGTGAGGACGGGAGGCAGCGAGGCGAAGTGACTTCCCCAGGGTGACACCCTCGATGACAGGACCCAGGGGCTGGGGCTCCCCACTTCCAGGCCTGTGTTCTTTGCCCTGCCTGGAGCAGCAGTTTAGCTCCGAGTGGGCCCAGCGTCAGACCAGGCCCCTGCGAATGCCCGGGCCTCGCCCTCGACCTGGGGGAGCTGGGGGAGGCGAGGTGTGCCGGACCCCACACCTCGGTCCTATTACTCCCCATTCCCCCTGACAGTCCAGGAGCCCCTGAGAGGCAGGGACTCAGTGGTCACAACTTCCCAAGGCAACTCCTTGGTGGTTAATAATTAATTAGTAAGTGTGACTAATTAATGGCTTCCCCTCCCATGTTACCTCCTCCCTGTCAAAGCGGAAGCTCCCGGTGCCAGCCGAGCCGCCTGCCTCTCTTCCCAGCTCTGCTGGGCCTGCCCCTGGCTTCTGGGGAGGGTCGGGCTGCCAGGTGGGTGGAAGGAAAGTGCTGTGCGGGTGGGAGGAGGGGAGCTGCCGTCCTTGTCTGCTCTTCTCTCCGGGATGCAGGAGGGTTTGGGAGGGACCGCCGGCAGAGGTAACTCCCTAAGTACCGGTTCTGGGCTTCCAGGACACAGGGCCCATCTCCTCTTTGGAGTGTTTGCAAAGGCCCCACAGAAGCTTTTCTTTTTTTCATCCCACCATCCTTCTCTAGACCTCCCTGGGAACCTGAAATCCCAAAGTGCAGGCACACACTGTTTTCAGGGCAATGTTTCAGTCGTGCCCGTGGGACTCGGAGAGGCTGTGTCTGTCGGTCTACCCCAGCTCCCGGTTGTTCCTGCTCTGCCGGTCTCCATGGGCAGCCCGTGCCGTCCGTCGGCGACCCGGCTGTCAGCAGCCCCCCTCCCTCTCTGCCTGCTCTGTGCTCGGCTGTCCCCAGGCCGCCTCTTTTCCCTGCCGCTGACCTGAGGCTGGAGCCTCCCCCACGCCGGTGCCCCCAGGAAGCAGGATAAGCCCCAGACAGAAACTCAGGGCTTTTGGCCTGTTGCTCAATGGGCTGACTCAGTGAGGAGGTGGCTGCGCTGTCCTTGCAGACGGCCCACTGGCTCCGCCCGCCCTCCCCCTGCTCAGCTCCCGCCAACGGCTGCCGGCCCTGGCCAGCTGGGCCCTGACCGGGCGTGTGCTCCCGGGAGCGGGGGACGGCCGCAGGTGCTGTTCCAGGGCCGGGTGCCCGCCGCGCCGACACAGACGGGGCTGTGCTCTCAGCCCCAGGAAGGCAGGGCTATCTCCCTCCTGTCCTCCGGCAGCTTCTGCTCCTGGCAGTCCTGACACTCCGCTGGGTCTCCCTGGGACATGGGGTACAGGGGATCCAGGCCGACTCTCCCCGAGGCGTCTCCTGGGCGTCGTTGGTGGCCTGGGAGTTGTGTCAGGGCTCTGTGCAGCTCACTGGCGTGGAGGGGCCGCACCACCTCCGGACGGCTCCCTGGGGCAGGGAGCAGGGCAGCCGGGGCTGGGGGCAGAGCAGGGCTTTGGCTGAGTGCCCAGGGCCCAGCCCCTTCTTGCAGTGCCTGACCCATGTGGGCTCTGGGCTGAGGACCGTCAACCTCGTGGGGACAGCCATCTCCCGTCCTGCTCCCTTCCCTCCCTGCCTGTCCCTGCACCCACTTCTCCTCTCCTCTTCCTTTTCAGCCTCTCTCTTTGCTCTTTTCCTTGTTGTCCTTCTCTTCAGTCTCAGGGGTTCCTGTCGACCCCCTTAGCCCTAGAGGCCTCTCTTGGAAGGAGGCCAAGTGGGGCGCCAGACCCCACCAAGAACGGGTTTGCTGGTGAGGCCCACGGAGCCTTCTCTGGGCTGCATCCCCAGACTCGCCCAGAAACACGGTGCTCACTTCTACTGCCCCTGCCCTCGCATATCTCATTCCTAAGCTCGTTTCTTGTATTGTTCTCTTTAAAGCTGGGTAAACTCCAGGCCACCTGCACGTCCTGGCCCAGGTTGGGAACGGTGTCACCCCTCCCTGATCTGTGCCCCCTCCTCCCAGAAGTCCACCATGGAGAGTAAGGATGAGGTCAGCGACACCGACAGTGGCATCATCCTGCAGTCTGGTGAGTGGCTGGGGAATCCCGCTGTCCGGGCCCTGACAACCCCAGGCTCCATGGCTGAGATGCCCCAGGATGGAGTGGGGGAAGGGTGGGCAGCGAGAGAGGCCTCTGCTGGGGGGTAGATCCTGGAAGGGCTGGAGAGTTCTCTTTCTGGAGGGATCTAGCCTGGAGTGGTGATCCTATCTGGAACAGGTATCTGCAATGTTCAACTCTGGCCCCAGTGATTACTGAGAAGTTGAAAACCCTTATCTGGCTGGTGTAGAGGACCTGTCTCTCTGGTTGGCCTGAGTTTGTGGGCCTAATCTGGCCTAGTCTTGACAGAGGACAAGAGAAGAGGTGTGTGTGAGTGTGTGTGTGTGTGTGTGTGTGAAAGAGAGAGAGAGAGAGGAGGAGGAGGAGGCGGTTCATTGCAGTGGGTGGAGGGCGGGAAGGGAAAGGACCGAGTTCTGACCACGGGGCCCTCCCGCACTGGTGGGCTGGCCTGTCGCTCTGAGCTGCAACGTAGTCAACTCTGGCAGCCAGGGGACGTGTTTTGTGGTGATGACACAGGCTGTGCAGCTGGGTTGTAACCTGGGCAGGCGTGAGGCTGTGTGCGCTCCCCTAGGGTGGTCAAGATGTGTCTGAGACAGGCTCCCCCTGGGGCCTAGGCTTCCCTGAGCGTGTGCCCCCATCCCCCCAGGCCCCGACAGCCCGGTCTCCCCAGTGAAGGAGCTGACCCACGCGGTGCGCAAGCAGCAGCAGGCCCTCGAGGAGCGGCTGGAGGCCTGCCTGGAGGAGCTGAGGAGGCTGTGCCTGAGGGAAGCGGTGAGCGCTGGCCGGCCCCCACCTGCACATGTGAACTCGGGGTCATCTGAGGGGCCCTGGAGCTACGTTTTGGGATGTTGGGGCTGCAGGAAGGGAACTCCGTTCCTGAGAGGATTCTGGAAATCAGACGGGGGTGTGGTGCCCGGAGTCTGTGTGTGTGCAGTGTTTGACCTGGGCACCGGGTGGCTCGGGCAGGGGAGAGCTGGATGGTCAGGGGCCCAGGCACGGGGAAGGGGGAATGAGAGATGCTGCAGGAGGTGAGCAGAAGGAGGTGTGAAGGAAAAAGGGAGGGAGTGCAGAGGGCACCCTAGAGATGCCGGTGGGACAACCCTGGTGACGAGCTGGGGTGGAAGGGGCAGGGGCATCTGGAAGGGCACAGACATCACAGGCCCTGGTGAACAGGCTGCTCTTGATGGCCAAGGGCGGGGCCAGTGGAGTGGGGCCTGGCTTGACCTCGCTTCCCCTGCAGGAGCTGACGGGGATCCTGCCAGCAGAGTACCCCCTCAGACCAGGGGAGAAGGCCCCCAAGGTCCGCCGCAGGATTGGAGCAGCCTACAAACTGGACGAGCAGGCCCTGCACAGAGAGGTGAGGGGTTCTGGAAACCGGCCCCCATCCCCAGAGGCTGCTCCTGACCCAGGACCTCGCCGTCGGCAGGGGAGAGCTCTTGGGGGCAGTGCCTTCACCCGGCACTTGGCGGTCTCCTCTCTACTCATCCCACCCCAGGGCGGTCTCCTCTCTACTCATCCCACCCCAGAGGGGCGCTTGGCTCCGCGTCAGCCAGGGGCACCCATAAACGTGCAGCCCAAATGGCACTGGGGAAGGTGTGCCTCCACAGGCCGGAGAGCTGGGACTCGGGGAGGACACTGGGTTTGCTCCCCGGTGGGCAGAGGATCAGTTAAGAGCTCACCCACCAGCCCGGAGAGGTCACTCTGGCTCCTAGGGCTGTCCTCCTGTGTCAGTGCGGGAGGAAGGCGGTGTGGGCGGCTTGGCCCCAGCATCCCTTCCCCATGCTGTGAACGGGGCGGTTTCTTCTGGGCTCACCTGCCCAACCCTTTGGGGTCAGGAGGGAAAGTCCCACTCTGGTTCCCACCCTCTGGCTCTGTGGCCAGGCTGGTAGGTGGGTCCCTGGCTAGCCTTTCAGGCCGACAGGTTTGCTCCCGGGCACCTCCCACCGCTGCACCCTCTGCCCCACATCTGAGGCCGCTGTCTGCTTCCCGGGCCTCGGGCTGGGTTCCAAGGGCGAGGTCTGGGCCACCCGCCCTCCCATGCCTCACTGCGCCCCCTCCCTCAGGACCCCCTGAGCAGCCTGGAGTGGGAGCTGGCCCTGCAGCTGCAGATCGCCGAGGCGGCGCGGCGGCTGTGCCGGGAGGAGAATGTGGGCAGGCAGGCCCGCCGGCAGCGGAAGCTGGCCCTGCTGCAGGAGGAAGAGAAGCTGCGCGCGCTGGAGCGCTGCCTGGGCGAGCAGCGGTGCCACAGCGGGCCCCCTCCCGCCACCCCGCTCCCCCTGGGCCGAGGTAAGCAGCTGCCCCGGGTCCCGTCCTGGGAGCTCTGGGCTGGGGGGCGCAGGGCGCCCGACGCTGCATGGCCTTTGGTGAGCACGGCCTGGTGCCCAACACGGTGTTTAATGCCCCACATTGGCTCCAGCTCGTCCACCACTGCCCCCTCGGCACCCTCTGCAGCCCCGACAAGCCCTAGTGTGGGGCTTCTTCCCCATCTCCTTAGAAAGCAGCCCCCTCCTTCCTTCCGCCTCCTGCTGCACACCTCCAGCCCTCGGAAGACTCCTGGGACAGAAGGCATTTCCCAGGCTGACCTCGGGCCTATCTCAAGCATTATTCAACAGCAGTGTCCTAGGTCCACTGTCCTGCCTCCAGGCCCACAGGGAGATGGCTTATCGATCAGCTAGTGTGAGGCTTCCGTGAGCCTGGGGCTCCGAGTTATGCACCGTCCGCTGGCCGGGGGGCTGATTGGCCCCGCACAACTGCTCACCGGATTGTTTCAGGGGCCCAGAGCCACCCAGGGATGTTTGGGTTGAAATCTGGCACCACCAGTGCCACATCCCCCAACCCCTTAAGTTTCTGGAACCACCCCCATCAAGAGTGGAGTGCCTCTAGTCTAATCCCAGAGACCAGGGGCCCAGAAACCGGTGGCTGTGAGTGCCCTAGTGAGCTGTCCGTGCCGGGGACCAGCCACCAGGGGACATCAGTGCGTCCAGCCCGGTTACCTTCCAACAAGTAGTCTGAGCCCTTAGGTGTGACTTTTTCCCTTCCTGACCCAAACTCAGCTGGTCAGGTCAAACGTGCTGCCCTCCTTCCTGATCCCAGGGCATCCTGCCCACTGCTCCCCCTCCCCCAGACTTCTCAGGAGGGAAGTGGAGGAGGGAAGGGGGCAGCGGCCCTGGGGCAGGACCGGATGATGGGGCAGGACAGGCCAGGGCCGGGAGAATTGTCCGCTTCCCCCACACCCCCAGCTCCTGCTCCTACGCCTGCACCTCTGCTGGCTTTTCACCAAGTTGCTCTCCTCCCCTGATGGGAACATTTGTATAGAAGCCCTGGAGCCCGTCCCGGTCCCCATGCCCCGTGGCCCACGCCTTGGGCGGGGGATTATCTCAGCACAGTCTCAGGAGTCCCTGCGGCCACACGCTGTCTCTAATTCAGGGTAGAAAGGGTGTGACCAGACACCTCCCAGGTCACCTGCAGCAGCCAGGAGTAGAGGGCGAGGGAGGAGGTGCCTCCATGGGGCAGGTGACCCAGTAAACGCAGGGGATGGAGCTGACCCAGGCTCAGGTGGCCAGACGTCTCTGGTTCGAGTGGCTCTGGCCTGGCCTGGCTGCAGGATGATACTCCTGGTCTCCGACGCTCTGATGGAAAAGTTGTCCACCTCCTTCACTCCTAAGGGGCCCCCAGGACTCGACCTCCCCTGGAAAGGCTGCGTGACTTGGGCTTGCAAGTCCCTAAGGGCTCGCTTGCTCTGTGCTGATGGGGGGCCACCGGGGGGAGATGTGCCCCCGTCCCAGTGTGCTCAGCCCCTCCCGTGTCCTATCCAGCCTCGCGCTGCTCAGCAGCTTCCTCTGCCCACAGTTGCTGGAGTGGCAGAGGGTGTGGGGGGTGTCACTCTGGCGCCGCCATTGTGACCGGTGATGCTTCTTGTTGGGGGCGGGGAGCAGGCCGGGGCACGCCCGGGGCTCTGGTTAACCCTCTGTGGGAGGCAGCAGGTTCTGAAACTTCTCTGGGCTCTCAGCCCAGGTGAAGACAGAGCTGTTGGGAGGAAACATGGCGTAGTGACTGACTCGCCCTCCTGATGGGAGAAGACCCCTGGCTCTCCACCAGCCGGCCTTGTGCACGTGGGCCTGAGGCCCCGGGCTCTGGTGTCCTGCTTTGGGAGCCCAGGAGGAGGCCATTCTAGACACGTAATTCCTGTTCTGTGGCTCCCCTGCCCCGAAAGAAGGAAGTAGAGAGAGACTGAGTTAGTAGCTGAAACATGTTTTGAATTAAAAAGAAAAAAAAAGCAAAACAAACAACAAAAAAAACACGACACCCCACTCCACCCCCTAGGTCCCCACACGAGTTGTTCATTTTGGGAATGTCATTCTGCCAGGCGAGAGTAATTACCTAGAACTCTGCAGGTGGCGGGGAGCAGCCAGGTGTTGAACTAAGTTACCACGGGGGCCTGATGAGAAATGCCCCCAGCACACGCCCCTGACGTCGGAGGTGCTCTGCGTGCGTTTGCTGACCGACCGCGCCCGCGGTGAGCAACGCTGTCTGGTAGAATTTCTGCGATGATGGAAATGTTCTATATTCACACTGTGTGATGTGGCAGCCACTAGCCATGTGGGGCTGTTGAGCATTTGAAATGGGCCTGGTGGTGTGACAAAGGAACTGAATTTTAAATTTTATTTCATTGTAATTAACATGGCCACACACAGCTAGTGGCTACCGTGTGGACGGTGCAGCCTTTGAGAATGCTCAGTTTGAGAGGACGGTCTCCGTAGTGACCCCTCTGCCGGGGGTGTCCTGCCGTCGCTACTGGACCGAGGGCAGGGCCAGGCTGAGCTGGGCTGGGGAGGGGCAGTGTCGCCGACATGGTGAGCAGCCCCAGGGAGCCACGTGGGTTTGGCTGGCAGATTGCTGTGCTCTGCGCCCCCAACCCCAGGCAAAGGCAGTGGGTCTCCAGATTCCCTACTTGCACTGCGCCCTTCTGGCCTATGGAACTCTGACCTGCTTGTTTGTATGAAGATTAGGGGTGACAGGGGTGATGTCTTTCTTCTCAGACCATAGATTCAAACCCATACACGTGGCCCCACCCCACGTGCACCCCTGCGCCATGACAGTAACTGTCCCACAACTTCTCCAACTTGACATTTATGAAAAGTAAAACTCCTTATTCTCCAGGTTTTTGTAAAAGATCAGAGGCAGGGAACCAGAATCCAATAAGAGGGTGTCTCCTCAACTGAACCCCTAAGCAAAGGCTGGGGGAGCTAAGCACAGTGTGGGCCGGCTGGCTCCTCGGGGTGGCCCGGCTCCTTGGGCTGGGTGCCCTACAAGGCTCAAGAACTGCTCTGAGTCAAGTTTGTATTTCATTTAAGTTGTGGAGCAAATGTTGACACACTTCTGTAAAGGTCCAGATAGTAACTATCGTAGGCTCTGTGGGCCATGCGGTCTCTGTCACACCTACTCAGCTGCTCAACTTTGTAGCTCAAAAGCAGCCAGCTGTTATGTAAACAAATCTGGGTTCCAATAAAACTTTATTTATAAAAACAGGCAGTTAACCAGATTTGGCCCGTGGGCCTGTAGTTTGCCAATCCCTGTTATAGAGGATTTTAAGATGGCTGGAATTGTTTACTTTTCTTGGAATTTTCTGGGTAATGACCTATGCATTAGACACTAGCTAATGGGAGAGCTGTTAAGTGGTGGTGGTGAAGAGCCAGACTCCGGGTAGACTGTCTGGGTGTGAATTCTGACGTAACCCCTTTTGGCGGATTGACCTAAGCCGTGTTGCTCAACTCCTTTCCCGCCTTGGCTTTTGCTGTTACATGGCGATGATAACAGTATTGACCTTACAGGGTTGTTATGAGGATCACATGAATTAATACACAGAGAGTGCTTAGAAAAGTGTGGGCACAGTAGAAATGTTAGCTATCGTTAATATTCTTCATCTTTATCTGAAACATAGTTGACAATGCTCTGTGGGTTCCACCCAGGTCATGTGAGGCATATTCTCAACATCTGAGGGTAATGGCACTATAAGTTTCCTCTGACGTCCTGGGTCACAGCCGCTGCTATACCACGCAGACATGCCACACTCCATGTCCTCAGGTGATGGGCCATCTCGCCAGTTGAGAACCTTCCTCACCCAGCCGGGCAGACCCTTGAACTGACCCACAGCCCCCAGCTCAGACTCGCACTCGCACTGGTCTTGGTGACGCGGGACTGCTCAGATTTGGGATCCTGGAATTGAGTGGTATTTATGATAACAGAAGACCATAGAAAACTTAGCAAAATTCTTTTCACCCCAAGGGCCTTCCAAAATGGCTCTTTGCCTTTCCCTTTCACTGCCAGAGGAGACCCTGGCTTTTTTTGACAAATGGGGAAACTGAGGCCCAGAGCATTGGCTTATTCAAGGCTGCAAAGCGAATGGCAGAGCCAGGATTTCCTGTCTCCTCGCTCCTAACTTCTGTTTGTTTTTTTCTACTTCCAAGTAAATTCATGCCAGGATAGTATTTAACACACCTGGTATTTCCTGATAAGGGATGCTATCAGGAAGGGAGGGGCCCAGGGCTGGTTCCCCAGACCATGGTGCATTTTCTCACCTCTGTCTCTTCTCTCTCCTTTGCTTTCCCAGAGCTCAGTGCCTCCGATGACAGCTCCCTGTCGGATGGGCTGCTCTTGGAGGAAGGTGAGAGGGCCGTTCAGGGCCTACTGTCAGGATGGGGCTCCTACTGCAAGACCTCGGGGCTCTGGCAGAGTTGACTCATGAGGCCTTTAAAGCGAGAGGGGAGCTTTTGTGAGCTAGTGGAGTTAGGGGGGCCACTTGGTGCTGAGAGCTCCGTGCCCCTGCCCGCGCTCTGCTGAGGGTGGCCACGTGCTGACCCTTTGGCATTCCAGGCACTCCATCCTATCAACTGGGAAGGGAAAGGTGAATTCCAGCACTGCCTGTGGGCCCCTGGCGTCCCTGCCTTTGCCCTGGGCTCTATGTCAGTGTGCACCTGTCAGAGCCAAGCCAGCTGGCCACAGTCATTGTCCTTTTTGAAAAGAGGGTAGCAGGAAACATAAGTCCATAGATTAAGAACCCTGTTTACAAACCCTAAGGATGCTGGGGGTCAAGGTAGACCAAGAAGGGGTGCAGTCCCGCCCAGGGCAGCGCCCAGGCAATAAGGAAATAGCGCACACAGGCACGGCATGAACAAGAAAGATGGGTAAACAGAAGATTAGCTGCAGACACGGCACCAGAGCAAAGGTTAGAAGGTGCGTAATGTGAGCCAAGGAGAATCAATCTGGGGAGGCTTCTTGAAGGAGGCAGGTACAAACTAGAGCTGGGAGGGAGGGAGTACCCAAGGAGAAGAAAACATTTTTGAGCGTCTTGGCCTGGAGCAGCTGGACAAGCAGCCATGGGAGGGAGAGCCGCACGGGCCGGGGAGGCTCTCGATGGGCCGGCTTCCCACCCGCTGCCCTCACTGGGTTTCTTGTACCCTGCAGAGGAATCCCAAGTGCCAAAACCTTCCCCGGAGTCCCTGGCTCCACTCTCCCGGCCTCTCCCGCCCCAGAGCCTCGAGGGGCTGCAGCCAGCAGGACCTGAGACTGGGGGCCTGGAGCGGGCCCCGATCCAGAACAGCCCCTGGAAGGAGACCAGCCTGGATCACCCCTATGAGAAGCCCAGGAAGTCTTCTGAACCCAACAGCGAGTCCAGGTCGGGGGGGGGGGAGGAGGGGAGGGGCAGGAGCCTGCGGGACCTGTGCTGAGGGTGGCCGTGGGCTGGGCTAGGTGTAGGAGACCACCCCTCTCCTTCGCTGGGTGATGGTGGGAGGCATGAGCCTTAGGGTCCCCTTCCACTGTGCCCTATTCCTCCGCACACCTTGAGCCCCTGAAGGGAAGCATTCCTGCTGCTGACCTGTCTCCAATCCTTTTGCAGCAGCCCAGCCAGCACGCCGCAGGGGGGGCCCAGCGCCTCCAGCCCGTGGCTACTGGAGCCCGCCTCCTACCACGTGGTTCCCGTCCGCAGCATTCCCAGCCAGCGGCAGGGCCGCACCAGTGCTCCAGCCACCCCCGAGATGCAGGGGAGGAGGGGCCAGTCGCAGTCTCTGAGGTAAGACAGGCCACCCCAAGATGCAGGGAGCTGACAGTTGGAGGGTGGTGGCTTCTAGGATATAGGTGGGACTCCTGTGGGTGACACGTGGCTAGTGCCGTGGCTTCTCCTTCGGATCCCTCCCTTCTTGCGGCACCTCTCAATAGAGGCTGCCCCACAACCCTCAGAGCCAGAGGCAGGTTGTTTTTCCCCAAAGACTGCAGTTTTGCCTTTTTGCACAGCTGATTCAGGTTTTCTCCCCTTGCCATTTCTCTTACGGCGAGAGAGTGTGGCTCCGTAGATACTTTTGAATTGTTTTATTATTGGTCACTGACAGTGGACAGTTTACTTTTCCAACTGATGTGCAGTCGATCCTCATTATTTGCTGTAGTTTTATGTCCTATAAAGTCACCGCCAACACCGAATTAGCGAATACCGAGCCGTCGCTCCTGGGGAAACAGTGCTAGGTGCCTGAGAGCTTCTGGTCATGACATTTTGTCAACTGATCAGTACACACACTTGTTTTGTGTGAGTTTCTGCTTAAAGACTCCTTATTTAATATAGATCGTTGACTCATTCACATCGAAGTCACGGCCATCAGCCCTATAACTCACACCCAAATGAGGCTCACCTCACCCCCGTATCTTCCCCGTAAGGCAGGTCACAGCCTTCCTGCCCTCAGGAACACCACACAGCACCTCAGCTCTACGCTAGGGCCGTTTTAAACAGTGAGGTCACCAAGAAAAAACACAAAAATATGAAAAATGTGACACCAAATAGACCACGGAAGGCCGCCTGTTTACAGAATGAGAGCTGAAGCGGGAAGGCAGAGGGTGGCCTTGTCCAGTCTCAGCAGAGAACGAGCCCGTTGGGCAACTCAGATTTTCCACCATTCTGTGCACGTCCACAGTGCCCATGAAAGGGCCACGAGTGTTGACGCTGAGGTTGCCAGTACATGTTAGTTGTGGGAGAATGTGCAGATATGGAACCCGAGAATAATGAGAGTCAGCCGCGTGTTCCTTTCCAAGTCCCCTGCCCCTTGGTGGGAGTTAAAGTGACCGGGTTATGACGGGCTGTGGTAATACAGCACACAGAAGTCCCGGCACCGTCAGGGCACTGCGGGGTCTCTGTCGGGTTAGGGTCGCTTGTCAGGGCAGTTTGGGATGACTGGTCTCAAGTCAAGCAACGAATTTTCTATATTAAGTCCCGCCAGGACTATTTTACAAATAGCGCCTCTGCAGGTCAGTAAAAGGCGCCCCCTCTGGACAGACACAGCCACGCCCCGGCGTGTCAGCAGAGTGAGGGCTGGATTTCAGCCCCTGCGGACCCCAGGGCTGGTGCCCTGTATGAGTTTGCTGGGGCTGCCACAGGAAAATAAAGCAGACTGGGGCTTACATTACAGAAATTATTGTCTCACCATCATCTGAGGCTGGAAGCCCAAGATCAAGGGTTGGTGTCTCCTGAGGCCTCCCTCCTTGGATGGTACATGGTGGTCTTCCCTCTGTACCACTGACAGCTCTTCTGCCTTCACATTAGATACCTGACAGTGTCCACCTGCACTGTCTGCACCCACAGATTCTGTGGGTGATGTGCCACTGAACCATGCACCTAATCTGGCTGAAATGGTATGAGATGGATATGGCGGACTTTACACCCACCAAAAATGGGAGTGGCGCAGGAGGATGTTGGCAGACAGGGAGGGAATGTGTTGAGGCACCCAGACCAGGAGGGTGGGTGTCTTCGTTTTGGGGAGGTGTGACCTACAGCCCTGCCCTGTGCGTGCCTGGGTCTACTTCGCCTCTTTATCTCCATCCCCTAAGCGCAGAGTTGTGCCCCCAGACTCACTGCGTCTTCCTCCCCCCACCCCAGGGTGGAGTCCTTCCGGGCGGGTCCCGAGGGCCGGGGGCGCAGCGCCTTCCCCCGCCGCCGCCCCACCCACTACACGGTGACAGTGCCGGACTCCTGCTTCCCCCGGACCAAGCCCCCACTGCCCCAGGCCGCCTGCCACTCCTGCTCGGAAGACAGCGGCTCGGACGTGTCCAGCGTCTCTCACCCCACCTCGCCGGGCAGCAGCAGCCCCGACGTCTCCTTCCTGCGGCCGCTCTCCCCACCCGAGCTGCCTCGCCTGCGCATGGCCTGGGGCCCGGGGGGCAGCAGGGAGCTGGCTGCCCCCTCGCCCAGGCTGCTGCTACCCCCCGGCTGTGTCCCGGTCGCACGCTACGTGCTGGTGGCCCAGAGCCACCTGCCGGGCGAGTGGCAACTGTGCGGCGCGGGGCGGGGCCCCAGCGACGACGAGGAGGGGGCGCCCCTGCGCTGCCAGTGGCTGGTGCCCCCCCGCAGCCGCCTGGTGCGGACGCCCTCGCTCAAGGACAGCCCAGCCGGCCGAGGGCTCAGCAGGGCCGCCGTGACCGAGGAGCTCCGCAGCTGGCACGAGCGCGCACGGCTCCGCAGCGCGCGCCCGCACTCGCTGGACCGCCAGGGGGCCTTCCGCGTGCGCAGCCTGCCCACTGGCAGAGAGGGCCTCGGGCGAGCTCCGGGTGCCCGGACGCAGGTACGGCCGCGAGAGGGTCACCAGGCCTGCCAGCTGGGAACCGCTGCGGTCCCAGCAGGTCCAAGCGTAGAGGGACATCACACCAGCAGGCTGGTGGCCGGCTAACCCCCAGCTGGGAAGGACGGGCGAAGAAACCATTTCTTCTTGGCTTTGGAAGGCGCTCGACTCCCCTGGGGCGCTCCTAATCTTGCCTGCCCGTCCAGCTCAGGAGCACATGCCCACCCGCACTGGTGGAGATGGCCCTCCAAGAGAGCCGAGGCCTTTTTTTCCTAATGGCTCCGCGGATGATCCACAAAGCCGATAAGCCTCTATTCATGATCAGTTAAGTCCAACCCAAACGAATCCCCCACATCTCCTGATTTGAGGGCCCAGGACAGAGGGAGAGTCTGAAATGTGTTTGCAGAAGCCAGAACTTGTGGTTGCCTGTCAGTCATCTTCCTCTCTGACTCCCCGTGCCCTGCCCAGCTGAGCAGCAGGGTGCATAATGGTTGGTGTGCAGATCCTGAAATTACACTCCCCGGGTTAAAATGCCAGCGCTGCTGCTTATAGGCAATATGATGGGGCAAGTTAATGAACTCCTCGGAGCCTCTGTTACTCCCTCTGTAAATGGGGGCAGTAAGGTAGTGTCTATCTCACAGGGCTATTAAGAACCTTAAATGAGTTACTATGTGTAAAATGATTAGAGCAATGCACATCAGTCCTAGATAAGTGGTATTGTTATTGTCCTGGCACCAGGTTGGGGGCAGCTTGTAGGAGAGAGTAGTCTGACGTGAGGGAGGCATGGCTGCCCTGGTTTCCGTGGCCCCATTCCTCCATTCTGGACGTGGGGAGAACGCACATAAGTCTTTATTCGTTCTCCCTGGAACCGAGGGCTCTGCAGGAGGCATGCTCCAGAAGTTACCGACAGGCTGCTGCTTTGAGACCCAAGATCCCTGGCAGGCTCGCTGCACGTCCCTCCCACACCCACCAGATCTCAGGCCACAGCTGCATCCTGGGCCCGCAGCAGTCTGGCCCCGGTCCCGGCCCTACCCTCCAGCTGACACGCTTTTCCCTCCTGCGAGCTTGGACCTGTTGCTGGCCCAGGCCCAGCCCATCCCAACCTGCCAGACAGGGAGGGTGAGGAGAAGGGAGCCCAGGAAAGGGGGGAGGAGGTCAGGGTGCCTGTCACACCCCAAAGAAAGCTGGAGTGGAAAATGGATGAAGGTTGGTCCCTGGGGGACAAAGTGCCTCCTGGGGAGGTGGGGGCTGAGTGGCTGGGCCAGTGCTGCTGCCGGTCAGTGTCCTGAAGGGACAAGGACGGTGTAACTTGCTGTCTGGATGTTTCTACCTCATTTGCTCACAGATCTCCTTTCTTCCTGATCCTGACAGGTGCCCACAGGCTACGTGCTGCGGAGATCGCCTGAGGGGGGCCCTGTGCAAGTCTTTGTCCCTGAGAACGGCGAGATCGCCAGCCAGGTGTAACCAAGGCCAGGTGTACCTGCGCTGCAAATGCCTCGGCCCGGCTGCCGGAGACTGTTTCATAGCGGGCCTGCGGCCGAGAGCTCCAGCCCGAGTGCCTTCTTCAGCTCCCTAGTCCCCATCGCAGGCCGATGACCTGGAGCTGAGACTTTTTTTTTTTTAATACCAGTTTTTGTCCACAAGCCCTGGCCTGACGATTTATATTTGTGATTTGCCCTCAAGATCCCTGTAATATGATGATGCTGTATCCCCCAGAGACTGGCCCGCTGGACTTGGAGGCCTTGCCTGTCTCGCTGACGGCATTTGTCTCCTTATGCAAAACAAGTGGCAGAGGATGCCAAGCAGAGAGGGCCATGTGGGGATTCCTCAAACGCTCCACCCTCTGGTTCTCAGGACTCCTCTGGAGAAGAGCTCCTGGCCCCCCGGCCCACTGCGGCTGGAGGCTGCCCCTCACTCCCCCACTTTCCAGCTCTCTGGGTAGTGGCAAGTTGCTGGCTGGGGGACAACCTCCCTCCCCCTTTATAATGTGCTCTGTGATGCACACGCCAAGAGGCAGGTTAAAGGTCAGTATGTCCCGGTGGAGCGTTGTCTTCCTGGACTCGGCTGTTTTCCTGACCCCATAAATCCCCGGTGGGGGCCCAATCACTCCACGCTCTCTGCGCCCCGTGGGCTCCCAGCATCTACTCAGACCTCTGAGCCTTGAGTTCGGGGCTTCACAGGTTGTCGCCTCGGGAGGCCTGGCTGGGGGCTGGCCTGCAGTGTTGGTTGGTGAACAGCCACCCTTGGACCACCTCCTCTGGGCATTGTGAGGGCTGGCGGTCCCATCACGCCCTCCAACATCTTTTCATCATAGTCCTAAAAACCAATACCTTACAAATATTTGGAAAATCACCCAGCTGGGCTTCTGCTTTGAGACTGTGGATTTCCTTGAAAGAGGGCAAGTCCTTATTTTCACAAACGTGGGAATACTCTCTCTTAAGGGCGCTGATTAACTGTCCCAGCTGCTGAGCCTTGAGCAGGCCTGGAACTTGCCTGTGCTAAGACCATCCGGCAGTCCTCGGGTGCTCGTCCAAGAGCCTTTGTGGCGGCCAGGCCAGGCATGCAGGTAGGGCTCCTGCTTCAAGGAGAAACCGCTGAGTTGAGGCGAGGAGGGTTAGCGCACTGAGTTCTGATTTTGTCCGTGCAAAACTCTTTCCCGCCCTGTTCCGAGTTCCCTGGACTTGGACAGCAGCTATGATTATAGCTTAAGGCTCCAAGAACTTGGATGCCTGACCCCAAAGAGGCACAGTTCTCCCAATTGGACCGAAAGCCGTGTAGCCTGCTGCACAAGGTGCTGAGGGAAGGACCCGTCGGAGGAATCGGGGAGGAGAGGGAGCTGAGGGGTTGCACCTGTGTTTCTGTCACTGCCTCTGACCACATCCTGCAGCTCCGCCACTTTTGGGGTCAACCCTGCCCCCGTTATGTTCGAATGTCTTATTTGGATGCTGTTCCCATCCAGTCTGTCTCTAAGCCCCTTCCCCCGTGCACAGCCATCTCGCCTCCCGTTCCTCCTGGGAGCCCAGAGCTCCTCGGGCTGAGCCGGGACGGTGGAGCCCCCCACACCTGAGCGCCCTCTACATTAACTTATTGGCCCTAATTGATGCCTGGTGCAGTTGCAAAGTGGGTGTGTACTCGGCTGTGGGGCTGGAATTGTGTGGGTTTAGTGCCAAATACTTCAATAAAGTCTGCTCTTTGCAAGTGGCCAAGCTGGTGATGCAGGTTCTTTTGTGCCGAGTTTTCTGAGCAGAAGCTCTGCCCAGCTCTCAGGTTGCCCACCCAAGGGGGCAGAGTTGCCTGGCCCCTCCAGCTGGTCTGACCAGGTCCTTGGGGAGTGGGGCGGGGTGGATGGGGTGGTAGACGGAGGCTCTTGGGTCCTCTCTTCCCTCTGCGGGATGGAAGCAGCTGCAACTCCCAGAGCTTTGACAGGCTCTGCGAGCCACTTCCCCAAGAAGGACAGGGGCTCTGGCAGCCTCAGGAGGTCTGGCTTCCACTGGGCCAGGCTAGGCAGGGGTCAGTGAGGAGCGTGGCTCAGTCTCCACCTCCTCAAAGCCGTTCCAGGAGCTCCTGCTGCCTAGAGTGGAGGCTCCCATGAGAAACAGCCCCCTCTCCAAAGCTGGACAACTGGGGGCCTTCCTTGGGGTGGCAAGGAGGAGGGACTCCCCACAAAGCCTGTCCCCCATCTCTGGGCAAGATTGCCTGCAGCCCTTCCCCCCCAGGGACCACTGGGTGGCGATGGGAGCTCCAGCCTGGGCCACTTCCCTCCTGCCCTGCAGGGGCCGCTCCAGGACCCAGGGCACAGCGCCCCCTGGAGCCACGATGCCCAGGAGAAGTGTGTGCCCCGGATCTGAGGCGCCTGGTGTGTCAGGTAGGGGGGTCCCCGCCTGCCTGCCCATCTCTGCAGCAAAGGAGGGGCAGGACCTGAGGGCTGGGCAGGCGGCTGCGGGTGGGGGCAGTTCCGGCCTTGTCCTGGGGACAGTGGGGGTCCCTTCTGGGTGGAGGAGGGCTGGGAAGGGGGACCACTCCAGGGGTCCCTGGGGAGGTTGTAGGCATCCTGATCTCAGGCCTTAAACACCTTCAGTCTGGCTGAATTGTGGATGATGTAGTTTTGACGGTTGTGCTGAGTCAGGCCCAGGGAAACCTGGACCGAGTGTTGGGGAGTTCCTGGGGGACCACCTGCTAAGGAGCCAGCTCCCCAGCAACAGGACTGACGAGACCAGCTAACAGGAGGGGGACACAACAGAAGACAGGGCGGGGCCCGGGGGGGGCTCTTCTAAGAGCAAGGGGGAGCACGAGTTTGGGGCCCTGAAGTGCAGGGCAGTGAGAGAACCCGGTCGGGTAGTGGTTTCCTCCTGGTCCACAAGCAGCTTCCCGGGGCTGTGTCTGGGAGGGGCAGACTCCTGGGGGCTCTTAGCTCCCCTGACAACGGAAGGAATGGGGACAGAGGCCTCTGGTACAAGGGGGCTTTAGGACTTGAGCAGTGAGACTCCCAGAGGCAATTCAGCCCAGAGGCAGAGGGGTGGACACCGTGACCTGGGAGGCCGCCTCTGAGTCTGAGATTTCAGGGGAGAGCCCGGAATGGGAGACTCCTAGGCAAATGAGGATGAATCAGGGCCCTTCAGAGGGTCCCATCTTCCCATGGCGAGGGAAAGGGAAGCTGACAGTGGGACCCAGCATGGCACTGCTCAGCTGATTCCTTTTCTCATAAATGGCCAGGGCCTGCCTCCTGCAGCTTCTGCATCCCTAGGGGGGAGCATCTCGCGCCTGGCCTGGCTCCTGTTCTCCACACAAGCTGCTGGCTGCTGCCCTGAATGTACAGATGAATCTGCCTCCTGACCAGCAAAAACGAAGCAGAGTAACCTTTGCACAATCAACTGAGCGTGTCTCTTGGAAGCCTAACTTGGCGGGTGAGCATTTGGCCCTGGACCGGGCTGTGTCCTGACTCACTGCACAGAGGCGCAGAGGTGATGGTGATTGCTCAGTCCTTGCCCGAGATGTCACTTAATGGGCATGAGTCTGACCATTTCTGGATGCCGCCTTCACAGCTCTGGTCTCTGCGTACCTGTCCCTTTTCAGACCTGCCTCAGTGAGAAGCCTGGAGCTGGGCAGGGAACAGGA